GTAGTGGTTCCTACACATGTAAAAGTAATGTTAATTTTTGTCTCAATTGAATAGTATTGAATACGAATGTTAATTATTGATATTATAAATCTTCTCCTTTATTTATATATTATGGCCTAAAAGTCAGTTAACCTTGTTTTGTGTGTTCTGGACAAAATTGTGAGGATTTTATAAAGACATTTGCTATAACTTTTGTGTGTAATTTTTATTTTAATCCTTAAAAATACACCGTATTGAATTTGTTTACCTATTGTAAAACTTTCAGAAAAAAAAAATAAAGATCAGATTACTGGAGTAAGCATAGAAATTTAATTCTTAGTATTTATCCTATTTCTTTATCTTTACTCATTCAATTTCAGTTAATGGCTTAGATTTGCATAGTTAATGCCTTATTCACAATACATGTGGATTTTTTTCTTAATAGAATCATAGACAATTAAATGCATTTAAGAACTGATTCATTTAACAAACTATTCGAGGAAATTTACGTATTAGAAAATATTTTTTCTTATGAAATAAATCCTTTTCGTACATTTTTAGATGATTTTATAACTGAATTTTTGTTGGAGCGATTAAAAAATGTTGGTGAAATGTGTTTAAACATAAAGATTCTTAACTACTTAAAGTATCAGTTAAGTACTTAAGGAATACATTTCATTAAGCGTAAGGATGATTATGACTTTTCTAATGCTTTTAATTGTATATAAAGTATTTAACTGCTTATCTAATTAAATTTTACGACTTTTAATTAAATAATTTAAAGAACATACATAGTTATTTTGTTTTTACTATTCAAATTAATATATAGAAAAGCCCAAAAGTTAGTTAACAGAGATAATAGTTCGTTATAAGAGATTACTGATTAGGAAATAGTTCGTAGCCTCATATACTGTACTGTATCAATTAAAATACTAATTGGACAATATGTATTTAGTTAGACACAAGTATTTGTAACCAGCGGAGGTATCCGAGTAACACCGGGTATTCCGCTGGTTGTTGCTGTTAAACCTCTTTGGAGCCTTCTAGATAGAATAATAAGAATTTAATTTGCTTTAACGACTTTACTAAACCTTGATAAATCTTTCTGTATATCTGTAGAAAACTCTCCTTTAATTTCTATAGCGGACAAACAAAGAGACGTTTAGAATTTCTTACACTTTAGTAAAATCTTTACAAAATAGTTGTGTGATATATTAAATATTTTATACTTTAATAACTTTATCTACATCAATAACATAAGAATTTCATATATACAGTACATATATAGGCTATAAAATAGGATAAAGTTTGCATTTTAATCACAACAGACAAAAAAGGTTATAAAATATGTCAGATTTATGGCTATATTTACATAAATTTATCTTAAAATACAAATAATTCAACACAAGTTTCGAAAAATCTGATAATAAGCTTTAAATAATTCATTTTCTATAAGTTTGACGTTGAATTTTAATCTATATTATACTATATATATATATAATTCAAAGCTTGTGTCTGTATATTCGGAGTTGTTTACACATTTCCAAGAGTTTTATACACTTGAAATTACATATATCAGTAACTTTTAGACAGAATTTCTTAGAAAACTTCGTTAACTCCAAATAGTCACATATTTTACCATATAGAGTCTGTATGGTTAAGAACCACACGAACAGTTTATAGAATATAATACAGTCTATCGTTGATTTTTAATAATTAAATATATAAAGATCGACTGCACGGAGTATTGTGAAGCGTACGGTAAAGCAGACGAGTTTAAAAGTAAAATAAAAAAGCCAAAGAAACTGAATTGGTTGAATGGCAGAGGCAATGTAACACTTTGGGAGGTGTAGAGAGCTTTCTGAGAGGACATTCATGAAAAATTATTAAACTGGCATCTATTCAGAAGCAAACTCGGATAACACGTTGCACGTTAGTATGAAAAGTAATGTAAAAAAGAAAGTAAAGTAACAATGTTGACAACTGTAATTCATTATAATAAGTGTAATTTGTCTGTATTTCTTCTTAATTCTATTAACAAACACGAAACGGCCCACCATTTATTCCATACTTTTATCCTAGAGTGTATATAATAGTTTAACACTAGGCAATGTATATTTTTAAGTGTACATAAGTAATATAATGAATATATAAATATTTAATATAATTATCGAGTTTCTTTCTTAAAAATTTAATTTAAGAATTTAGAATATTTATTGACAATTCAGAAATCATCTTTTTATTTCGATTTGTTCTTTGACAAAGCGAAATCGCATTGTTGTTTTTCAACTTCTTTTATGTTTCTTTCTTCATCCGAAATGTTACATTCTCTTATAAGTCTTTCTTCATTATATTGTATAACTTTATCATCTTTTTTATAAAATTTAAAACTTGATAAATCTTTAATTTCTGTCGACGAATCTTCTACAAGATATGAACTTGATTGAATTTCTAATTCTTTAACGTTAATGGCTACTTCATCTTTTAAGAAATCTTCGTTGAATTTTTTCTGAGTTAAATTAAACGAATCATTTGTTGTTTTTAAATTTTTAAATTCATCTTTGATTTTTTGTGAATTTCTTTCATTCTTATCATCATCATCCATAGCTTCAGAAGCAAGAGAATGTGAATTTTCATGAATTTTCGAATGTGACTTATCATCTTTTATGGATGAAACTGTAGAATTTCTTGGATGATTTTCATCCAAAATTTCATTTATTTTATCATCGATGCATTCATTACTTAGAAAATATTTTCCGAGAGCTTCTAAATTCTTAAAAATCAAATTTTGATCTACATTTTCCATTTCCATTTTGTTCTTAATTAAAATATCTAAACTTTTCTCTTTCGGTTGTGATTTTAAATTAAAATTTTTTAATATATTTCTAAAATTTGGCCACATATTTTGTAGATCATTCGAATGTTTAGAAATTAAAGTTTTCTTTCTTGTTATTTTCTTCGATAAACAGGGAAATTGATATTTATACCATTGATTCGCCATGATTTGTGGTATGTAAATTCTCGATTCCAAAGGGGAAAGTATTGCACGAATTAATTCTTTACATAATTTAGATATTAGAGGATTAACTGGGAAATGAATTTTTGTAGTCACCTCTTTAAGTATAGTTTTGTAATCGTCAGATTGGCATGGTAAGCGCCCGCATACCATAGCATATAATACAATTCCCACACTCCAAATATCAGACATATGAGGCTCGTATGGTAAACCTTTTAAAATTTCTGGAGAAGCGTATGCTAAGCTACCACAAAAGGTAGTACTTAATATTAAATCTCTGTCTTTATTTTCATTTTCTCCAATTAAATAATTTGGTAAAGAATGGCGAGCAAATCCAAAATCGGTAATTTTGATAATATTAAATCTATCAATTAATAAATTTTCACACTTGATGTCACGATGGACAATTCCCTAAATAAGTTATAAAGTAATTAATATATAAATATATTAGATACAGTAAATTATCAATAAATACACGTATCTTACATTCTTATGGAGATAAGCTATGCCATCAATTAAGTTATGAAAATATTTGCATGCCATTTCTTCCTCTATAAATCTTTTTTTTTCTAGTAATTGTAGTAATGTACCATTTTCTACAAATTCCATAAATATATATATTGTGTCATTCATATCCACGCATTCGATGAAACTAACGATGTTTCGATGTTTAATTCTTTTTACAATTTCGATTTCACGAGGTAAAAATCGATTGAGAAATTCTTTAGGAACTTTCTCTCTGGACATTATTTTAACAGCAATTTTTTTCCTATTTAAAGAACTGAAGGCTAATCTTACATCAGCGAAGGATCCTCTTCCTACGCTGTTAGATAATGTGTAACCTCTATCCTTTAAGAAATTCGAAAAGTCTGTTTTCTTATTGTTATCCATTATTATTATACAATAATTTTTTACATTCTTTATTGTTAAGAAACGTATTATCTTTGTTGAAAAGTGGATTGGATTGATACACAATAGAAGTATAATAAAAGATATAAAATGAATTAAATCATTTTATTCTCAAGAGATGGCAGCACGAGATTTTGTAGTTTCCTATTTTAAAATTATTCACCCCTTTCTGGTCGTTTTTTCGTTCGATTATATTCTATTTTTTAGAAGTTTTATATAGAAATTAAGTGTTAGGATTTATAGATAAATTAATGCTGATTTTATTGACAATAAAATTATATAGAATGATCGCCATTCTCTGAGGTATAAAGGGAAACGAATTTCATGTTTACTTGTCCATTCATTTACTTGTCTTAGTACTAAGGAATACAAGTGATAGGTAATGTATAATTGTGTAGTAAGGATAACGTAATTCAGTTGATTGTTTTTTTAAATGTTTTTTTAATATTTAAAGTACAATCAAGCAATACATTTACGTAACTTTTATAGTAGATACAATAGCCTTTACTTTGTAGTTTGATTCGTTTTGTAAGTCTTTATGACAATTGTATAGAATAATATACAGCAACTTATATAAAAACCATAGGATATCATATTACAAAACAACAGATNAAAAATACTTTAAATAAGAAAAAAAAATGAGATCAGTTAATTAAGAAAATTTGAAGAAGTCAAAAGAAAACGAATTTATTTTTTCCTCCATTTTATTGATATTTTTTTTCTTATCTTTAGCATTAAAAAACATTAATTATACTTTCAGCTTATCGTTATAATTAGTATTTGAAACAAAAAGTCATCTTCCTCCTCCTTCGCTGATCTTATTTGCAAACCACTTATTAAACTGATCATTCGAGTAAATTAGTTAAAGGAGCTTCCGTCATTGAAATATTACTCAATCCTAATTAATCAAGAATGCCTTTTCGTTAGAATGATACCTAATTACTTAGTTGTTTCGTTCCAAATTAGATGGAACTATTTGACCAATGATTTTCCTCGTTATTGGTTCTACTTGGTTTAAGATAATGAAAGTAGAAAGTAAATTGTTAACTATTGATAACTGTTAAAAAATTAAACAATTTTCCATTGAATAAATAGAGAAATTATTTTATTTTGTAAATTTAGAACACACACAAAAAAAAAACTATCCATATTTGTTCTTTTAAAGGTTAAAATAGAGTTATATTTTATAAATATTTTAAAGTTATATGTATAAGTATATATAACAAAAGTTATGAAATATTTATCGCAAAATATCCATAAGCAAAATGATGCGAGGGAGCAAAATACGAAAATCCTCTTAGGATCATTTTTGCTCTATCTTCGCCTTATCCCTTGTTTATCACAAATATTTGAACATAGTTTTTTTCATGAAATATTTCTGATAACGTAGCTTAAATAGTGTTTTTCTATGAAATAATAAATCTTACCGATTCCTAATCATGTTGGAAAATTAATATATGACTTTATATATTTAATTAAATCCAATTATAAAAGATTTATTTAAGATTTATGTATGAAATAGTGTTACGATTATATTAAGTTTATATAAACTATATTATCTGTAAAATTGCAATAAAATCTTAATTATTTATATAATAAAAACAATGAAGAGTTACCCAACTACACGTTGGGTAATTACCTCTTCATTGCTCGCGATTCAAGGAAATTAAACTGTATTCATTCGATAATATAAAATATCGATTTAATATATTCTAAGCTGAAGTTTAGGGCCTCGTTATATGAGCCTGTAGCTTAAAGTCTTAAGTCTTTATATGTATTGTTTAGTGAAAGCGAAGGGCCTGCATCTAATTCCAGCCCCGCTATAACGTTTGTATTGTAATATATAAAAATATTTAATAATTCATTGAAAGTATAGAATTGAATCTAACAGAATTGAACATTTAAGAGATGAACTTAAAATGACATTCAGATAAAATGAAAGGGAAGGTGTTTCCATTAAACTTGGCCATTATCATTTCTGTGTGTCATCGTTTCACTCTTGAAGCTAAGCTCATTGTTAATGACAGACACACGATATCATTTACTGAGACAGGTAATATATGAAAGTCACTAAAACTTCCACTCAGAATTAAATTATATTTCAAATAAAAGATATATATATATATATTGTTTTAATTTAGATTTAAATTTAAATAAATAAAATATCATTAATATTTCTTTTCGTAATTTTAATGAAATTGTCGCATATTATACGATTAAAAGTAATTAACTATCTAATGAACCTAGAATTAATTATTAACTGTAAATAGGATAGATATAAGCATGAAGGGAATGTCAATCCTGCAATGAGATCTGTCTTTCTCTCTCTGTGTAAATAACTGCAGCTATAATGAACAATCAAAGCTGGATTGATTGCAAACCTCCAAATAGTTTGGTGTCCCCTAAAGCAAATCTATAAAGACGAGAGTGTTCGGTTATCAACAAGAATTTCTTTTTGCAGTTTCTTTTTTTCTTCTCTTTTCTTTATAAACACTGAAAAGAATCGAACAATGGGGAAAATCTAAGTGAGTGTTGAATTTCAGGTGATGGCTACGAAACATCACTTGATCATTCAATTGAATCAAACTGTATGGCTCCCTGTAGTTTTCACAGGATATATGAAATAAATCCTTCCAAAAAATTAAATATTCTCATTAAATTATTAAGATTTAAACAATTAAACTTATCTAAAGTAAAGATTTAATATATTAATATTAAAATACACCAATTAAAACGGTGTTTTAAGTGAAGTAAACCTTATTTTTCTGTCAAATTTATTAATTTTATAACATTATTCAGCTTATATATTGTAATTAACTGTTTTATTAATTACAATTTAGTAGAATTACAATGAATGAATAATATTATATTTATATTTTTATATCTTTTTCTTGTATATTAATAAGATCCACACGTTACATAATATAATGTATTGTATACATACATACAGACCTTATAAATTTTATATAAAAATATAATAAATTTATAAAATGTGTATATAATATTTTAAAAAGAATTAGACGAAAAAAATATAATTTAAAAAATAAAATAAAAGCTTCAAAATCTATTGTTAATGTAAGATAAGAACTTTATCTGAAAGACATTATAAATAATCCAAAATAACTTTTTGATTTTATATAAAATAAATCTTTCTTCTGTTGTTATTCTATATATTTTTTTATGACAAAAATGTCTTAGGAATTGCTTACTTTACCTTAAAAAAGTATAGATTTTATTTTAAAAAAAATATATAAAACAATAAGAAAAACTTTGATTTAAATCCTAAAAAAATATACATACTAAGATGCTGCCATCTAGGAACGATATTTAGAAATATAAAATATAAAATTTAAATATAATAAATA